AAATACAAAAAAGATTCTTTGAAATTAGCTTTTTAAGTTAACTTTAAAATGATACTAGAACTTAGATATTGTCACAACGTCATCTAAACGTGAACAATAAATAACTCAATGAAAAACTATATTAGATGTTGGACTATTTGTTCAGCTGTTTGTGTCGGAAGCATATGATAAGATTTGGATAAAAAGTGGCAAAAGAAGTACTTATTAAATATTGAGTCTTATACCAGATGATCAAAATTTTTCTTATCAATTTTAACATTTATGGACATTGGATTTATTTAAGTGTATAACTCTGAAGTATATTTTGGTTGAAAATTGTTTTTTTATGTTTTTGAGTAAATAAAATGAATGAATGTTTATAAAATGAAAAACAATGTAACGACGAGAAAGTCTGGGCAATGTCTTCATTGCAGTAGGAACACACAGTTAACTACGCTTTTCCATACATCTTTCTTTCTTTACATCCCATTAAATTGTTTTCCAATTAAAGTACTGTACATTATCGGTTGGGTTAAAGACATTATTCATTAGGTATAAATTATAATATAGTGCATTGACCTTTTTAGGACTGTTCAGTTTATTATTTATTTAATATTGTGTTATTTTATTATTATCCGCAATTCCAAATTGTCGTATAACACCGTTTTATGTCCCATATGCACGGGGCACGGGTTCTGATAAACTTTGCAATTGTTACATGCAATCATTATGACACATCGATATAATTGGGTGGAGGGAGAACATTTAACTAAACGATTATAAAATTATCTCATTTATATATGCGTACGTGCAACTTGATTATTTTCACATCGAAATAATTACTGTTGTATTACTAAATTATAGAATTAAATGTACATAATATTATACTATGTTCCAAATGACGAGCTTGTGTATGGATTGTCATTCTATGGTCCTTGAGCACTTGCGCTTCTGATCACACAAGATATAATTATTATGATGTGTGGTCTATTGACCAATCAGATTTAATGAGTAATAAAGATAATATTCCACGTGTTATAATCTAATTGAAAGAAAATATTTTGAAATGGTAAAAGCCCGTTTATATTTTATTAAATATTTTGTTGTATATAACAGACTGAAAGATTCTATATGATACACTATAATTTCTATAGGTATTTATGTAGGTACATAATATCTACACCGTTGTGAACGGGTTTCTATTATAATCATTGACCATCTATATTGTGAGTGCATTGGACGGGACCGAAACAATTAAACAACACTTTTGCAACATTTGTTTGTCGATTATAATAAATAAAACATGATATATTTATATGTACGCGATGAGAGGTGTCGTCGTCGCAAGCCTGACCGGCGGCCAAAATTGGTTGCCGGGTGTGGCCTTGTGGACATCGATAATGAGACGCCGCAGCCCGCAGTAGTCATAATAACGACCTCGACAATATTATATGTAATACGTACCTAATGACTATTGACTAATGAACTAATAAACATATGAATATTATTATAGCGCTACGTCCTGTAGTTAGGATAAATATATTGTACCTTTTGAACATCATTATTATTTTTCTGTACAGAAAAGTATATGCAGATTATTGTGTAGCTTGAGAAGAAATCCTTTCATACCTTATCAGTTATCATATACTTTTCTGACATTGGCAATTTAAAACAAGATTTTTCATAAGTTCCTAGTTTATACAGTAAACAAAATATCCAAAAAATATATAAACACAGTTTTTTTATAGACATTTTAATTTTAATTTAGAAAGAGGGTATTATAATAATAGATATAATTTTAGTTATTTTATTATTGTAATTTAAAAATATTATTCTTGGGTACTTATAAAACCTGTGAATTATATTATTATATTTTATACACACAACGTTTTAGGCAAATATTAATTCAACCTATTGTATTACTAATGAAAGACTTGTTGATTTAGTTATATAATTTTTTTGAAATTTATTTAATTTATTAGTTTGGTTTAGTTAGGTACTAGGTATAGCTTTGAATAGTTGTACCACTGTATTCAAATAGTTGATCCTCTACATGGTTTATAATCTAAAGTTACTCTAAACAAGTAATAAACTATGTGAGTGCGTTTACTTTGCTCCTAATTATAAACAATTGTCGTTGTTCTGCTGTATTTGACACTTAAATAATATTTTTGAGTTAATATGATGATTTTTTTGTATTGTTTTATTTTCCATAGACTTAATCCATAATACCGGATACATGAATCATACATTAATACCTATAATACATATTTTTCTGACAGAATGAAGTTACTTTGTGCATACGACTGGAGCCGAGGAGTATAGATTTGGGTGGTTGTGTTGGCCTATTGGTGGGATAAGACGCGTTTTTGATTGTTCGCAACCACTTTGTCTCGGCGAACGGAGTATCTTTACGATAAACTAGTATGTTGTAATTATTAATACGGACAGTACTCCAACTGAGCGGTATTGCAGGAATTGGTGTTTTTTATTCTCCCGCTAACTTCGTGGACCTTACTGAACACTGCTGTAATGTACCTATTTTGCCTATACAATACGCCGGGCAAAACGTTATGTTTGGGTGAAGTAAAACAGTATTTATTTATATTATACTTGTCGTCATCATCAGTATTTAAGTCAAATGTTGGCGTAGTCTATAACATAGATCTTAGATGATAGGTGTTAAATATTTTACAATTATATATTCTCTTATATTTTTAATTGTAGTTGAATAATACACTTCAATACAAATTGGTTGTTATCAAGATTCACTGTTAGATTCAAAATGGCTGTAAGAACTAAGAAGGTATATGAGTTCTCACTCCCACTGGTAAACGCGTTTTAAAAAAACAAAAAACTTAATTAGTTATAATCATATGTTGTATTGGAAGTCAAAGGATATAGTCTATTTCGAATAACGAACAAAATGATTAACGTGTTCCAAGCAGCCTGATGTGACAAGAAAAGACGGTGTTGATTCAAGTCGAATTGCGTGACTAAAAATGAATGAGGTCTTTGCTTCATTATTATCAAAGTTTGCGTAGGTTAGGTTAGGTTAGGTTAGATTAAAATCAATTCGATAAATTACAATCCATGAGGTCCTTGTAAATCTAAATTCGAGTCTCCACCAACGAGCATAGGTATTGTTTTTATGTATAAAATATATATTATGTTATTTTTACGACTTTGAGAGATACCAGTGTAAAGAAGTGGATAGTTAGAAATTTCGAAAAATTATTACTCACATTCGAGTCCACCGAGTCTTGACGTCAACGAGCCTAATGGCGAAATAATCACATACATAGACACTCATATTACTAGTACTAGTGCCTAATAGTAAAATATATTTTTTGAATCACAATAATATATAAAATATTTTTCTTAATGTTTTATACTCAGAATTGTTTTTAGTACCTATACCTACAATGATTTTATATCAATAAATTCAAATTTAACACATCCTTATTTACAGTGACTCATTTAACATCTAATGTACAGCAGAGCGTTCCCCACTCTCCTGTTTTTTTTTGTTTTGAAAAACTATTTAAAATTGTTTACTTTTGACCACCCGAAAAACTAATTAGATCCAAAAAATAAGACGCTAAAGTAAAAAATCAAAACATTATTATTTCTCCAAAAGGTGATGATAGACATGTAAGATCGGTACATTTTTACAGTGGTTCAAATGGCTCAATATAATAGTGGTCAGTGGAGAGATACCTTTCATAATTTAAATAGTTCTCATATATCGTTTAAACAGTCTTATAAAATAAATGACAGGATGGAAAATGTGAATTATCAAAAGTGGAGGGTTGCCATTCCACCACACCTCCCCCCTCACTTAGACAACTGTCCATACACCATCCATATTCAGTGGGAAAGACTGAAGCACGTTATAGAATATTGTAAAAATATAGATTATAGATAAAACAAAGTCATTCAGCGTCGAAATGTGAATGGTAATTTGACGGCATTTAGTTCTGTACATTGTACATTGGGAGCGCTAAACCAAAATAATACCATTTTTTATTATCAGTGTCATCACATGGTATGATAAAATTTTAATTTTAAATTTCTAATTTTCAATATTATTTGATTAATTTTAATTATAAACGTCTGTGAAGTTAGCTTTCGGACGTTTATCACATATCAAAATTCTGATAAGGAGAAAGCCGTGTTCCTGCTTACTCTATTGTCTATTCATATCTTACAAGGGGTATTAATTAAAATATTTATTTTTCCGATATAATTTGCATGATTCAAGATTGATGAACAATAATTTTCATTAATTAGATTACATTATTAAATATTAATTATTATATAATATAATAATAGTTAATACAGTTAAAACACTAAGAATCTATAATTCACGTTATATTCTTACATGTTTGAGTAATATAACAATTATACAATTATACAATGCATGGACGAAAACTAAGAACAATATCATTGCATGGCATATGCACCTTAATATTTTAATTCAGGCATCAATAAAGTGCTATAAGACTGAGGTGATAAAAATATTGTCAATGTATTGCCTTCCTCTATGTAGTTCTTAGATGTTTACATTTTGGGTTTTGCATTTACTGTTTATGTTTTTTAAATATGATTATTGAAATTGACTTTAATATGAATACCCTTCAGCATTAAGCCTGTCATTAACTTACTATATGAAAAAAAAAAAATAAGAAAAAGTAATGTAAAAAGTTTTATGGTTAAGTCCTCTGTGGACTTCCACACGAGCATGATCAGTTGGACAAATTCTTTGAAATAAACTCTAAATATAACTAGGTCCTGTACACCTATGTGCAAATTTACCTTGATATCGTATATTATTATGAATACTACTTTATGTAAGGTGTTAAAATTAATGTTCATCCATCTTAAATCATGCGAATTATATTCGAAAAATAAATATTTGTATTAATATTTAATACCCCTTGTAAGATATGAATAGGCAATAGAGTAAGCAGGAATGCGGCTACCTCCTTATCAGAACTTTGATATGTGATAATTGTCCGGAAGCTAACTTCATAGACATTAATTTTAATGTACGTTGTATAATTATATTGTTCTTTGATTATAATATACGGTATAATATTATGGTCTGGTAGCCATTTATTCCTTAGGACGTTGCGTAAATAAATTTTGTAGTGCCTAAATTTAAAATCAAATATAGGTATAAGTATATAACACATTTATTAAAATGGTTTCTATTTCTAAAACATTTTTACCATTAAACACTCAAGGAGGAAATAGCCAACTGCCTATAATCGGATGTAAGTCATAAATATATATTGTTTTTTTGTCTCAATTCTTGATCATAACTATATATTAATTAAACTTTTTTTGGTTTTAGTTGGTACGTATACGATTTCCGATAAAAAAATAATATTGAATGTCTTGGACGTGGCACTTGGCGCTGGGTATCGTCTAATTGGTAAATTGAATACCTACCTATTTATACTAATATATATATATAAGTTTTAGTGATTACTTAATGTGTATTAATTTAATTTAATTACTTATTATGTATAACCATTTGTCTTATTATTGGTTTATGTCATGTTATTTGAATTATTTATTGTTACTTTTTTTGTTACTTTTTTTATTTGATTATAATTTTAAATATTCCTTAAAAATCATAATATATTTTGTGGTTGTGATCGTGATTATTGTCTATTTATTAACAAATCTTTTTAACTTAGTATTTTAGTTTATTATATTTATTTTTCAGACACAGCAGCAGTGTATAACAATGAACATTACATCAAAGAAGCACTTCAAGTGTTATTACCAAAGTATCATCTGAAGCGTGAAGATTTGTTTATTACATCAAAATTAGGTATATTATATATTGTTGCAATTTCTTAATGTCTGATTGTAAACGTTTGTATAGCCATAGCATAGATAGTATAATTTAATCGCTTTAATCATTCCATATGAAAAAACAATTCTGAGTGGTAGTGTATCTGCCTGTTTCTTAAGATGTTTTACAAATTATTTTTCCTTTAAGGAAGGCATGTTGAACTGATTTTCCCCAAATCATCATGTTATAATATATGATTTTATATTATTATTGTGAAATCATATCAATACTCCATAGTGTAGATAGGTTAATTGTATAATATATATAGCTTAAAGTTTTAGACTAAATATTTTGGACATTTCATTGTGTATAGAAAATAATATACTTAATGGCAAAAAATGTCATTCAAAAGGTTGAAAAGATAAAGCTTACAAGTAATATTTTTTAAATTATTGAAATATTGAAACAATTTTTCTGCTATATAGGATTTCTTCAGACACATAAAGTAATACATGTATTGCTCTGCTGAAAAATGTTCATTTATAGAGATACAATAGATACTTGTACCATTTATACCACATTTTTCATATTTCTTAAGTTATAATATTCTTACAGCTTTTAATTTAGTGTAGTTTCATTAACCAGTCTTTTATTATTCTCACACTAAACAAAACACTTCATTAAATTTGAATCTAAATGTATGAACTCAGTCAGCGCTTTTTTTTCTATTAAATGTATAGTAAAATCTTGCATTAATTTGACCATTTCAATCATTTTTTAAAGACAACTGTCATTACAAAATATAATAAGTAATAAACTAATAGCGTACCATAATACATTCACGACTGCAGTGAAGTTAATAATATTTTCAACATTAAACTGACTATGCATTATTCAAATTTCAAATTGGAAAGATCATTTACCAATTAAAGTCATTTAATTGTGTTTATAGAATAACATTTATCCATAACGACAATTTGAGTTGTACATTAAGTTTTGAATTATTTATATTTATGATGACAAGGGTATTCTTTTATTATTATTCTTATAATTAATTAATTTTTTTCAAAGCTCCCAAAGACCACGGAGATGAAAAACAAGTAACAGCTGCTGTGCAAAGGTCATTGGATAATCTAGGTACCAGTTACTTGGATTTATATTTAATACACTGGCCAGGAGCTGGGCGTATTGATGCAAAAAGTCCTGAAAATTCTAAACTTCGTAACTTAACATGGAAGACTCTCATGAAGTTGCACGACAATGGCAATGGTCCACTGAAGAATATTGGAGTATCTAATTATACTGTAAAACATATAAAAGAAATGCTCGCTGATCCAACTAATATTGTTCCCGCTGTTAATCAGGTAAAAACATATCATAATGTATATTACTTTGTTCCCTTGCGTTGATTTCAGTGTATTATTTAATACTCTATGATAGATATATTTTAAAGCAAATAAAATCACAACTGTTAGCTATACTTGTTTTTAGCTTTACCTATGTATCTATACTTGTATTTGTTCCTTTGAATTATCATAAATGTAAAAAACATCAATGAAATAGAAAAATATTAATTATATAATATCTTTAAAAATCCAATATGAAAAACAACTGATATATTATGTTAATTTTGCCCTGTTTATAATTTATTTTCAATGAATTATTAACTACTTCTTCTATTTTATAGAACATACAATCTAGCTTAAACCACCTGATTAAATAGTTTTAAAGTTTTGAACTATACATTGATAATAATCAAATTAAAAACTTAAAAATTAAATAAGTAGATAATTTTTTTTAAAACATATTAAACACTTGAAATATTGTTAAAATTTGTAATTATTTACAGGTTGAATTCCATCCATATTTTCAACAATCACCTGAGTTCCATGAAGTGTGCAGAAATGCCAAAATTGTTCTACAAGCATATTGTTCTATGGGAGGATCTGCTGGTAAAAATTCATTGTTAAATGATGAAGTAATAAATCGTATTGCTAAAAAACATTCCATAAGTGCTGCACAAGTTTTATTGAGATGGGCTATACAAAGAAATTATGGTGAGTTTAATATCAAATTAAGAATTTAAAAAAAAAAAAACGATATTTTCAAAATGTGAAACTAATGTTTAAGTAACAAATATTTTTATACATATAAACAAAAAGGTTATTTTAGACATTTCTTAATATAATTTGGGGTCTTTGGTTTTGTTTTCATAAAGTTCAGACTGAACATCATTTAATAACTCAAAATAATCATAATTTTCTCTACTATATTATATAAAATATTTTAACTAAAATTTAAAACTTTTAATAAAATATAGATAACTTAAATAACTTAACACTTAAATTCAATATCATATTGTCAATGAATGGGTTTTTATTGTTTTTAATTATTAATTAAACAAATTTTTGTTTACTTAAAATTTCAGCTATTATACCAAAGTCAATTACGGCGGAAAGAATAAAAATAAATTTTGATGTTGACACTGAACTCACTAAAGAAGATGTTGATGATATTAATAATATCAAGCACAGGGAAAAGTTTGCTTGGGAGCCTGAAGTTATAGCATGATATGAATAATAACTGTATAACTGTATAATACAATATTATGAACAACTCGCTATAATTTAGTATGACACAATTTTGGTTTTGAATTTTGTCATGTTAGCTTTAATATTAGTTATTTTATAGTCCATATGCTACTCTAAACAGTCTAAACTCAATGAGAAAAGAGTTAACCTTGGTGGTATTGATAACTAGTTACATCACTGTCAGACAAAATTTTTTTATTCTCTTATGCATCCAAAATGATTAACTATCCTTCAAAAGTTTTCCATTTTTCCATGTTATAATATATAATATATTCTTATTATATACAAATATACTATAAACACAATATTATTTTATGTAATTCTATTATTTATATATTTGTATGAGGTGATCTTATAGATTTATCAACAAATTTACTGATAAAGCAGTGTAGAAAATTATTGACTAAGATAGAATATACTGGAAATGAACAAACAGGCTTGCGATGAAGATGACTTCTAAAGAAGATATATTAGTTGCTGTTTTATATATTTTTGTGTTATATTTATAATTTTATTATGTGGTATTTGATTTATTATAAGTTTTATTCATGGTGTATTGCAATTTAACTTATTTTTGCCATATTAATCATTATTTTTAATTAATATTTTATTTTAACAATGACTTAAATTTAATATTAAGAACCATTAATATATTTTGATTTATTTTTAAATATTTGTTGTACTATTATTACTAATTGCTAATTTGTGATCAAAACAATATGAATAATATTTTTATTAAATTATGTGTTTCACTGTAAAAATGTTAAAAGGAAATACTGATAATTATGGGAATTGGAATTGGTGCTGTATTACTGTTTAAATCTTTTACATATTTTTTTATATACTATTATTTTTTTATATTGTTAATATTATTACTAATTGTATTGTTAATTCATAATTATATTATCACCATTATTTTTTAAATAAAATTCACTGTACAAAAAAAAACAATATTGTTTTATAAATCCTGAGTTCGGTGCCCACATGATGTATTCATGTTAAGTACACATTAATGCATTTTTCAGGAATCACATTTGAATAACGAATTCTCATCAATCAATTTTTGATACTTTGTTTTCTAAATTGCACGGATGTGATAAGTTTGAATTCTATGATAAATTAATGTAATATATACAATTTACGATGAAAATCGATTATGAGGGAAGACAATCTAATTTTTTACTTTTTAGTGACTAAGAAGTAAGATTAGATACCAAACATTTATTTTAATAATTCCTAATATTAAAATTTATTAGCAAATCTTGATACCTACTTTAGATAATCAAAAGTAAAAATTCACAGTAGTTTTCAAAATAACTGGAAAAAAATTTAAAAAATTGGGCAAAAACGAGAGGCAAAACTAGTTTTCGATTTTGTTTTATGGTGTTAGGTATAACACAAAACTAATAACCTCCTATACTTAAAATATTCACAAAATGATTATATGACTATTGCCTATTCTCCATAAATAGCACAATTTTCAAAATATTTTGGTTGTTTTTGAGCTATTTTTTAATTATAGCTCACTTCTATAATTGTATATAGTTTGACTACTATTTTCTAATAGTTATTCTTCTGCACTATAAATATATTATAATCTATAGTTAGTCTAATTACTAACCATTGATTGTTATAACTTATTACCATTTTCACTATTGTAGCAACATGATGATTTTCGCTCAATAATGTCACCATGCCATGGGTCTGGACAAAACGTAAAATTCCCGGCAAACAAATTGTACATTTGAGAATATAATTTCCTTATTGATCATGGTAAATAACAAACACTGAAATGCCTTAAAAATATTAGTTAATTAAAAATCCTTTTTTTAGTTACCATTTTTTTTTTTTTTTTATTTCATTGCAAGTTTATTAGGTTATAAGGAATAGTTTGGTATAATTTATGATTTGAAATATTTCTTATGGTACAAACAATTATGATGTACGCAATTAATGTTTTTAAGGTTTTGTTGTATTGTTTAATTATAGTGAAACTTAAAAAAATATGTATATTATATACATATGGGGGTTATAATATGTTGAGAACATAAAACAAGTGAAATGTGATGTAGGTATCATAGAGTATTTAGCATTTGGTTAATTTATTTAACAATATTAAAACTGAGGTAATAGGAGAAACAAAAATTAATTATTAACATAATTGTCTTTTCAAATTACAATGATGAAAAATGTAAGTGCAAGTTTCCTATGTTATTATGTTCTATAAATATTAACTGTTCATTCCTTTTCTAAATACTTGATACTATATTAATGAATTCTCCTATAAAAACACATTTTCATATCGACTAAGGACTTCTGCAGTTATACAACATTTTAGGTTATAATGTAGATACAATAAATTTCTTTTAAGTAAACAAATGACTTAAAAGGTGTGCATTTATTAATCGTAATTTCTGATCTTATTCTGATTTTATGAAAAGTGTACCAGAGTGACTCTCTTACTACTTTTATCGTCGAGTAGCCCTAAACCATCGCCCACCGACCTTAAGCACAAGCTGCCGAGCGTAAATATCGCAGAACAAAAGAACGTGTTGGTGCCACCAACTTGGTGGTGCGGTGGGTCGAATGATTTAGTCGTAAAGTTTGTCCGAACCCTCAATGGATAGTACAGTGATTATATAAACATTAATGTTACTGCAATTCAAAATTGAAAAAAATATTAAAAATTTCAAATTTATTTTGCATCAACGCATAGATCGTCGTTCACACAAAAAGATAAACTCAATTTGGATGATCAAAATACAATCCTTCTACTTTAAATTATATTATTTTAGTATTATTGTTATAACTTATAACGAACACTGTGGAATAATGTATTATATTCTACAGTTTAAACCATAATGCTCTTGTAGTCTTGTGACACATTAACATACATGCCCGTAAAGAATATCGCAATGGATTCACAATAATATTTCGTCCGAATTCAAGATCCGGCCACTGTCCTCCGCCAACTGGATGCATCAATAGTTTTTCATGAGCTGAAATATGCAGGCTCGACAAAAATCTAGTTGGAAAGTCGTGATTTCACCGCAGGCATCGTAGTGTATATGACTTCAACTGGCGATACACCAGTCATCGCGGATTTGAACTAAAACGAACCCGCCGTTGCACCCGGCCAAGATGTCATTATCAACGACATCTACATAATAACAATATATTTACACGTCATGTCCCGTCTTCTGCCTTGACCAAGTGTGCGTCCTGCAAGTGTCAGCCATGTCACTATATCGCGACAGCCGTTTTTTTATAGCACCACGAATTATTTTATTAATTACGTTAACGGCTGACGGTGTATGGCCATATGTTTTTGTTACATGTCCGCCTAAGCCGTAAGTTTCATCTTAATTTCAATGTACATTCGTATTTTGTTGTGTCACATTCCGCCTTGAGCGTCGCTGTAGTGCTTCCGTAGAATTTATACATTTTATCATCTTGTATGTGGTATGTCACGTTTGTTTGCGTCCCGTATCCGCCCTTTTCCGTCCACGCATCCTGTATAGTATACAGTGTATACCATGACCATCATATGGTTTAGTGGTATACTAGCATACTACTGTCGTGTTGCATTTTCGTCCTTTGTCGAGTCGGTGACAGTGTAACAGGATAGTCATGGTATCGGCCCACTGAGTTTCATTAAATTATATATTTCTATACTCATGTTTGTACTCATTTCTCATTATCATGAAAAGAAAAAGTTACCAATTAACACTCATAACTGGCCCATATTTTGAGTGGCCCACCGAGATTTCCTCGGCAGCTTGCCGATCCGACCATTGCCTGAATTGTTGAATGTCATACAATATATTCTTCTGATGTATCCCGGGCGTTCTGTTTCATTCGGGTGTGTCAGCCTAATATGTGCCCGCGGATCACGATACATATTGTTACATACGACATATTACATTTAATTATTTAAATATTGGTTAGTGGTTACATTAACGATAAACAAATTATTATATTACTACGAGACATTCCTTGCTCATGCGACGAACAGCTCGTTTTTGTAACCACATTTTTGAGGGCCACACTACACGCTCTTTGCTGACCGCGATTGCAGGATGACCGTGTTATTATATATTTATAATATTAAAATAGTGATCCTTCCAAAGTTCTAATATAATATATTAATATCGCATATGCAGTAGGAAGTGCAATCGTGCATTATTTACGCTTGATTCTTTCTGTGTATTACAACGTGCCTTTGGTAAAAGCGAATCCACGTCCCTCATCGGCATAGGCGTAACTTGGACTCTATTCACGTGGGGGCAAAAATAATTCTACACATTTCCATAATCTTATTTTAATTTAATATATATATTATGAAACTGTTTTATCATTTTTACCACCATTTTTCATTTAACTCATTTTAAGCAAACATTTTTTTATATTCCTATGCTATAAGTTTTATACCAAACTGTAATAATAAAATTACTACTTTCTTTTTAAACCAATAATTAATATTCATAATTATAAAAAAATTAAAAAGAAACTTTGTAGAAAACAACATGTTTTAAGTTTTTATATTTTTTATTTGTGTGTTTCTGTCATCACGATTTTGGGCAGTAAAAGTCCTGCTTGGGTAGGTACTACATCTATACTTAGTATTGAAATAAAATGTAAAAATGTAAGTGTTTTAAATTTACAAGCACTTATTATTTGTTGTTATTGTACAATATTATTATATTAAAATAAATTCCTATAAATATAATATAATATATTATAATATGTACCTATATGTTACGGTCGGAGTGCACAATTGGGCGTTGTAGTACAATGCCCGGACAATGTATACAATGCCAAATTTCAATGGACAATGGGGACAGTTATACCCTTTGCCTAGGCATTGCACAGAATGGCCAGAGCACAGTGAGTGATGGGCAATTACAATGATATAAAACAATTTTTTTTTTTTTATTGAACTTAAGCCCGGCGACTAAGGCCATTAGCTGTTGTAGGGGTTATGAACTGTGTTAGGGGTAAGGTTGGTACGGTAGGTTTGTTTTTACGATTGTCACGGTAGGTAGCCCGTGTATATTTTATATATACATAAATTGCGGTCTGAGTATATTTTATACATATATACGTGAATTGCGGCCTGGGATATTTCGATTTCCCGTCGGCTGCACAATTTAAACATAAGTATTGATAATTTTTAATCGATGTAGATAATCATATGTTCACTATTTCCCTAATATAATATTACTAGCAGCCAGTGTGCATTTGACCGACGATCTTACGCACGAGGTTTTACTCTTTGATCTAAAGTTAACATTTTTTTTCAATTTATTAAAAATGGACGTTGTGAAAAGCGAAAGGAAAAAAACTTTAAAAGTAGTTGATGGTTTCAAATGTTGATTTCAAAAAATGATGAAAAATGACTATAGCACTATAACAATATATGTGGAACATGGTATTATCTTATTTTCATAAGTTTATGAGAAAATA